ATATATATATATATATTCAACTTATTCACGTTTTTTTGCAAGCCTATGGAAGTCCAATATTCTAGTATTTGTTTTTCGCCTTTGATGTGGTTATCCGCAAATAGAATTGTGACTCGAGCATTAAATTTAACGTAATGATTAAGCTCGCGCCGATTTAGGGTTTTAGGGTATCTCTAATGCAAATAATTCATTTGAGTTGTTTCATGCATTAAAAAATGAAAAAAGTGGTCTCTAGTGTGTTATGTCAGCATTAAGCAACTCAAACACAAATTTACTTCAATGGTAAGAAACTTTAAGAAATTCAACTTTTAGAATTTTTTTTCTAATTATTTATGAACCAAATTTAAATTTTTATTAAAAAGAATAACTGCACTACGATGAAAGAAAATAAATTACGAGAAAAAATACACAATAAGTAGATATTAAAAATAAAATAAAGCAATAGTAAATACATAAACATTATACGAAATTAATTTTCATCATTATTATTTTCGAAAGGTTCCCAAATATGCTCAATAAAATTTGTTTGAAATCTGGTAAGAAATGGTTGCTTGAGGAAGCAACTCTCTCTCTTCTTCAAGCAAGTCATGTAGTTGCCACGTCAAAATCCTCCAAAAACAAGAAACCGAAACTTGAATTGCTTCATGGGAGAAGCAACTCCCATTGAAGTTGCTCTTAGAAACTTATCAAATGTCACCAATAGTGCTTCAACTTGATCGAATTAATTTGCTCAAATATCTTAACCCCGCTCAATAAAATAAAATCAAACAGCACTCTATGCAAACATCGTATAATATTTTTTTTTATAGCAAAATAGGACCAGATTAATCAAAGAGATGTATTATTCTCTTCTAAGATCCATTTCAATGCTAACTTTCACTTTTTTATTTTTTGTAAGGCCATTGCATGATTCCATGAGAATTACCAAAGAGACAACGACCAGGCCAAGACAAAAACTAGAAAAAAGGAAATATGATAGGAAGGAACCATGGTAGAAACAGCAGAAGAATAGTCACTGATTCGTGCGTTAAAAAGTACTCTTTTTTTTCCAGATCATAATTTTATCTAATAGAGGCATTCTTCATGTCATGTAATTAAGACTAGTATAATAGACGTAAGGAAAAAAGTATTGTAGACAAAAGAAAAAGAAAATTCTCCTCTTTCAAATATTCAACGTAACTAAATATTTAGTATCCGAATTCAAAATCATTAATTAAATGATAACAATTCATCGCTAATAGATGATAAAAAATACCATTAGTTTAGTTTATTTATCTAAATTTAATTTGAAATTAAATATGTCTGTTAAATTTTAAGATAATATAAAATAATATTCTATTGTATTTTATTTTAAAATAACTATTATAAATTAAGGATGGATTGATAAATTTAACCAAAAATGCTGACATATTACTTCTATTTTTAATCTATGTGCAAAAATTGTAAACGACTAAAAAATAGAAATAACAGGTTATAACATATTGATGTGTGCTGTAAAAAAAGTGCTGATGTGTTGTGATCATATTTAATGAATTAACAGCACGTGAATGATTAAAACTCATTATGTTAATATATCATTATTTGTTAAATAACACTATAAACCTAGGTGCTCTAAGAAAAACAACAATAACCTACCTATGTTACGTAGGTATAACTTATAAGTGGCCTTACAAAAAATAAAAAAGTGAAAGTTAGCATTGAAATGGATCTTAGAAGAGAATAATACATCTCTTTGATTAATCTGGTCCTATTTTGCTATAAAAAAAAATATTATACGATTCATCGCTAATAGATGATAAAAAATACCATTAGTTTAGTTTATTTATCTAAATTTAATTTGAAATTAAATATGTCTGTTAAATTTTAAGATAATATAAAATAATATTCTATTGTATTTGTTTTGTCCACCCTTAGTTTTAGTAATAGTGTTTGAAGTTTTGCAACACCTCTATCTTGTTAGACATACATTTATATCTGACATTTTTGGCCCCCAAGTACAAAGCGGGGGGTTTCTTGAACAATTGTTGCATTCTTAGTTTTTACTTTTTACACTAAGCTTGTCTCTGAAATTACTCGACCTGCTAGCATGTGGAGTTTGTTGGGTCAACTATTGTGAACATAATAAGATGTTAAGGTTTTTCTTGTACACTGCGAAAGCCCAAAAGCACTCAACCAAACTAGGTAATAGGTATATGTAACTGAATTTGCTCATACGGAGACACGAACTAGAGGATGTGTTGGGTCCCATAACCATTAGTGGTTTGGAAGTGTTGTGTTACACATTTTTGGGGAGTTCCTTCTTACTCTCCTTGTCAAAAAAGACTTGCCCAATCCTACTTCTGACATCGCTGACACTTGTCACAGACTCTTAACTTAAACAAGCTCTTTTGGTTCTGCTTCACATGTCTCCCAAATCATCTTTAATTCTTCATAGGCCTCACTTTCAACGGTCAATTTTATACTCGTTCCCACCTTCACATTGCGGACATATTTTAACATTTCTTTTATTTCTTCCGTTTTTATTGATTTTTTTTTTTTTCTACTTCTTCCGTTTAACCTCACATCAGCTATGTAACTTTTTTTTTCTTGAGTACAAGTGCAAAAATTAAAAGCATCAACATTCGCAATTTGGTTTCAATTTCTTGAGTAGTTGAACACAGCTAGCATCACTGGCCACAATGAAGTTACACATAGTAGTAAGTTAAAGTTGTAAACAAGTTTACAATATAGTCTTAGTGGTGGTAGTGGTCTCAAACGACGAGTGTGTGCTTCTAACTTGCAAGAAATACAACTACCCAGACTAGTGAAATGAAACATGGGATACAGCAAATATGTTGGAGGTGCTGCCTTCTAGTCCTAGAGTTGACCAGATGAGTGTGCAAGATACGCGAGTGCTCCTACAAGGGGTGAGTTAATATACGTAGCTGGCTCTGATTGCTCATAATCTGACCGTTCATCCGGGAACCTATCATGTTGATCCGGTCCACCAACAATGGCCCCCACTAGAATGTTTGGGTTAGGGGATTGTGAATTCATCACACTGAACCCTGCGGAACACTGGATCTTTCCCGGGTGCACAGCAATGGACGGTAGAGATGAGCCTCTATGGTGTATCCTTCGTGGGTACCTAGGACCATACCCCACCATGTACGACATCCTCAACGGGTTGTCCCCAAGCAAGTAATCCACCTGCAAAACATAAAATATATATATAAAAAAATAATAAAATTCGATTAACAACAAAGTAAATGCACATTTTTTAAGGTTTTTTTTATACCTGTTTCTTGGCTATTGCTCTGAGCCTCTTTGGGGTAACCGTGATTCCACCACAGTTAACAAGCGTATGAGCTGAGGTCAAGTATTTGGCATATGTTAACAGTAGGAAGGAGGTGGATGTGACATACTGCATGTTGCTATCACTCATCTTGAAAAGAAGCCCACCTAGTAATAACAACTAAGTAACCGTTACAAATTGGACCACAAAGTTAAAAAAAGAAAATATAGAAGAAGGAAAAAGGACCTCACCTGGGGTATATTGGGCAGAAGAGAAAGAGGTCCCAGGAATTAGAGAACATACGAAATTGTCCGCATGGCCCTTGTAGTCATGGAGGGATTGTACCCTTTGAACAAGGAACTCCTAGCACCAGGAACACAAAAATGTTAATTTGATACATTATCTTTACAATATATATATAGATATGGTGGAATAATTTGGACCTTGGAAAGAAGTATCCTTGCTCCAGCGTGCTTGTTATCCCACCCAAAGGTGTTGTCAAACTCTGCAGCCCCAAGGATCTGGCCATTGACTTTAATGTAGTTTAGGTACATTGGATTCTTGGTTGCCTTGTGCAGCCAGGCAGCACCCCACAACAGCTCATCCTACATAATAATATTCACCAAACATTCAGTAAAGCAAAGTATGTTTCCACTAACATAACATAACAATGTAACAGTTGAAGGTACTTTACCTGATAACCAGAGTAAGAGCAATAAAAGGGGCACACAAAGGGTTTCAAGGCATTGCTGTAGGATCCCCTGTATTTATCCGCAAACTGGAACACCTACACCCATAAAGTAGAAACAAAACAGTCTAGGATTTAGTTGGGACTTGGGAGCAAGCAATTTCCTCAACTAAAAAATGAACCAAAGGCTTACTTACTCTAATGGCCCTCCTCACTAAAAGTTTTGAGTATGTAGGATCAGTTCTTCTGAAAACCAAAGAAGCAGCTGCAAGAGCTGCCGCAGTTTCCGCAGCAACTTCAGAACCAGGTGTGTGTGCGTCTATTTTAAACACACTTCTTGGAGTGTCCATGTCCTCGGGTCTCTCCCAACAAGCGTGGTCTTTTTTAGCATCTCCCACCTGCAAACGAGAATCTGAGTTCACCTACTCTTTCTCTAAACTAGGCTTAGGCTTAGGCTTAGGCTTAGGAAGAGAAGAGTCTGAAAGTGACCTGAACATAAATGGTGTTTGGATGTACAGTAGCTTTGAGAAGATAATCGGTGGCCCAGCGAATGGCCTCTCTGGCATGCTGCAACTCACCTTTCATTAGTCCACCGAACTCAATGACGCTCCAAGAAAGCATGGTGGTGGTGAAGGCCATGGGAAAACCGAACTTGACATTGTCCCCAGCATCATAGTAGCCTCCAACCAAGTCAACCTGCAATGCAGATATGAAGAGAAATAAGGAAAAAGAAAATGGTAATGCGAGAGGGGTGTGAGTGGACATACGTGCATGGGTGAGCCATCAGAGAGAGCAGAGTTCTTCCTCCATGAGATTCTCTGGTTAGGAGGGAGCCTGCCAGACCTCTGGCCTTCGAAGAAGAGGATGGATTTGGTGAGAGCGTCTCTGTAGTTATGAGTGGCAGAGTGAGGGTGGCGATGGCGTGGGGAGGCATTGGTGAGTGGGGGAATGAGGGAAAGCAGTAGGAGAGTGAGGAAGGAAAGGGAGAGAGTCGTCATGTTGAATAGGGAATGCGCATACAACGACCAAACTGCTGCAACTGCAACTGCAATTTCTTCATTTTTATAAAGCAAAAGCTGCTTCTCTAACGTCCTACTTCTGCTTCTGCTTCTGCTTCGTTACAATACAACAATAATTACGTCCACATCCTACCCCTACAACTACCACCCTAATATTTTCATTTTTTTCTTACTTTTTTACTTTTCTATTTTTAACTTTTGTATCTATTGTTTTCTTCTTCTTCTTCTTTTAATCCATTAATTTAATAAATTTTATCTTTTAACTTTTATCAGGAACTAAAATAAAATAAAAATATTGAACTAACATATAATATTTTTAATCATAGAAACTAAAAATAAAGATTATAAAGTTAAATAAAATTAAGCCCAAAAATTCATTGTGATTCTGTAACATATGATTGTTATTAGAAAAATTATAAATTATAAATTTAAATCTATGTTATGTATAAATTGACGTCACAAGTATTTATTGGTACAACACTAAATAGAGTTAAATATTCTATCCGGTCTTTATTATTTTACGACATTTTTAACAAAATTACAACAGAATATTAATGTAAATTAATTTTATTAAACTTATAAAATAAAATAATAATATATTAATTTGACTCTTTTTATGTATCGTTATATTTTTATAAAGGATAAAAATATTACTTTATATCAAAATTTAAATATTAATATTAATAAAATTAATAAATGATAATTAGAAAGTTTCAGATATTAAAGTGAATATTTAATTATCTAACTCTCTTTTCATTATCTAATAATAAGAAATACACAATTTTATAACCATTAATAAAGGTAAAAGATAAAAAATATAATTCATGTTTTATAAAAATTATAAAGTGTCTTGTACATAAAGAATCACAATTTCCTTTTAAATTGTGACTTTTAATAAGGACCGGAGAGAATATGTTTTTAGTCATTGAATTTTTGTCAATTTTTATTTTTAGGCCATAAACAATTTTTTACTAATTTTTATCTCTTTTTTTTTTTTTAATTTTTGCTTTAGTCCTTAAACTTTTTTTTGGTTAAAATTTGTATCTAACATCTAAAACAAATCAAGAACTTAAATTAAATAAAAAAATTTCAAAGACTAGAAACAAAAATAAAAAATCAAATATATGAAAATTAGAAACATATTTAATCTTACTAACATTAAATAAACAACTATTTAAAATAAAAGATATATTTATAATAAAACTTAAATTCATGATAAAATTAATTAGAAGTAACTATATTAATTATTTATTTTTGTTAATGATTTGTGAAAATAATATCTATACTTATTATAAAGGGAATATATTTTAGTAATCACCCTTTTAGTCTTCACTTTTTAGTAAATTTTTATACTCTTGAATGTAAAAAAAAAAAAAGAATTATATTTTGTATAATTTTTAATATTTACTTATATTTAATTATTAGAGGCACGAAATGTCTCAACACTTCTAGTTTATAGTAATAAAAGTTTGAGGTAGTAATTTCAATTATCATCATAGTTATGTTATGGCTTACATGCTTTTTCCGTGATTTTGTTTTCAAAGGTTTGGGGAAAGTTATTAAAGGATTTAAATATGTTTTTATCACTTATAATAATATATCTAATTTGTAGTTTTAGTATTTATAAATTTTTTTTAAATTTTATCCCAGTAACATTTTGCTTTATACAGTGTTCATTCTAAATCATTTGTAATTTTAGTATTTATAAATTTTTTTTTAAATCTTATCCCAGTAACATTTTGTTTTATACAGTGTTCATTTTCCAAGGGAAACAAAGAGGAATTCTCTTTGAAATATTCTATTATTTTGAAGGAATGAGAATAAAGCAGAGGAAAATTCTTTCTCATTTAACATTTTTTCCTATCTAATATCCGGAATTTGGAGGGAGAAAAGGAAATTTAAATGTGTTAAGTATAATATGTAAATATTTTCATATGTTTTGAAATTTAAAATTATAAGAGTAAAAAAATAAATTTAATTTAAAAATATCTCCCACTTTCTCTTGAATCAAATAAGAAAAATTTAACTCAAGCGTGTGGTTTAGTAGTAGGGGTTGATCCACGCTTAAACAAGATTATGCAGCTGCGTTAAATCTTGTTATCGGCAGTGGATACTCCAAGAACGAACCAAACAAAAAATAAGAAAAGTTTCATATTAAAATAATTCTTCTTCACTTTCTTAACCAAACAAAATATTTATAAAAAAATTATCCTTTTTCTACCCTATTCTCCCTTTTTTATCTTTTGAACAAAAACATTCCTTACAACTTTCGTTTGTTTGTTTTTTTTTTCTCTCTATATATTTTTGGTCTTTATAAAATTCTAAATTTTTTATATAGGTTCATTTTATATTAAAAGATATTCATTTATTAATATGTTATGACATGATTTGTAAAGAATTTTATCATATAAATATGTGATTAAATAATTAAATATTTGATCTCTAAATATGTGTATAAAATATTATTAAAAAATCGAATCTTAAATAGATGTTAATATCTCAATATTAATCATTGGTCAAACTTTTGTGTGTTTAGTATGTAGGATTATATATACTTTTTATAATTCTTTATTTCATTTCATGATCTAATATGGAAGTTTATTTATATCCAACAAAAGATACAATACATTATAACCTATACCATATATAATACATGATCACTACATTAAACCTACAGTATATATAATACATTATTTGTTGATGTCACAATTTATTGGTGCATGTAAGCTCAGTTTGATATGCGTGATTTTGGATGGATGAAGTATCGTAGGATGGAAAAAAGGAACTTCACGCTTTCTTCTTTCATTAAGTAGCAACAAATAAAACAAAGCAGAACTATAAAATTTAGAGAAATATTACTTGCGCAATAAATTATTAAAAAAAGGAAAAGATATAAAAAATTTAGAATGTAATGCATAAACTGATAAAAAAAAAAGATAAATATATTAAACGAAATAATCTTACATAACTATCTCAATCTTTTATAATTAATTATATTATTAATGAAAATAATATATTTTTTAAATTATAAAAACCAAAAATATAAATTTTAAATTTAAAAATAAAAATAAAATTTTTAAAATTACATGCACTATACCCACAAAATGTGAATTTGGAGAACGAATACATATACTTCAAATTTAAAGGATTAAAGATATAGCTAAACATATATAAGTTAATTGAAATTCTATTGGCATGTCTCGTTTGCATAAAGTAGGTCCAAGATCGTTGATAATTGCTGAGAGAAGTTATTGCCCATAATTCGAAGCAGAGAGAGTATCTATGTGAGTATAAGCAGTAATCAGAGAAACAAATAAATGTGTTCCATGCTTCAACTCGGAGGATAAGCATGGAGAAGACACCACCCTTCAAATTCGCTGATTAGTTATGTAAGTAAGGCTGTGATTGAGATGGACGATTTTGAAAGAAAAGAAAAAAAAAAGACACAGAAAATGACATAATTTTTTTTATTTCTAGGAATTTTTTTTACTTTTATTTTTTACAACAAAAATTAAATGATAAATTATTTTAAAAACCTCTTATTTTTATTTTTTTATAAGCATTGTATAGTTTTTTTTAACCCAAAAATAAAATTTGTACGCTTCAGCTTTCCATCTGAAACTTTTCTGGATAATGAAGTCTCACACACAGTCATTGGACTTGAATGGATAAGCTGAAGGGATTTCAAGCTTTGGTTGGGTTCCCACTTACATACCAACCTAACCCTACATGTTCATGTTATATATTGCTAACCAAGTCATTGATATTTCTATCAATAGTTCAATATATATTTACGGGAGAATTTGTGTTTGTTCTATGTGAGTGAAAACTTCCTGAACTAGGGATAATTATGTTAGTACTGTAAGTAGAATTAATCTTTGATATGATGTAGCAAACTAAGAGATACGATAGAAGAACAAAATAAAAAATAGATCTTAAATTAAGAATGTTTGTTGATTTAAGTTAATCCGATGATCTAAATTAAATCAATTAAATTGATTCTATTTTTTTTTCTTGTTTGTGTTATTTTGAAGCATTTATTTACCTTTTAGTTTCAAATTTAAGATTTTACAAATAAATCTTCACAATGAAAATTTGAAAATCCTCATTTTTTTAGTTAATTTTCTTTCTATTATTATTGATAGAATTATATGATTTAATCAATTGTTTATGTGTCATATTTTACATTTTATATTATTATTTAATTAATGTAAATCAATTACACTCAAATATATTGTACCTGTCTAAGGGTACACTCGTAATCTTCAAGTGGGTAGAGGGCCGAACGGGAGCTTCGGGTGGATGCTTCAGAGGGGAGAGGTATCTGTAAAAGGCACTCCGACACTCAAGTTAGAACAAGCACGAATCTCTAGGGTAATAATTGAACAGTGACATATCTCGTTACGTGTGACCTATTTATAATACCTGACATGGGCCTGAACATGGTGGGCCTTTTCTGACACTTACTAAATTAGGTAATACGATGTTAATTGGCGGGTTATGCCTTAATTGTGCTTTGTCCCTTGTTAATCATGATCGTTATTCTAATTATTCTCTCTGTTGACCTTCGGCCGAGCCGATATGGACAGCCGAGACGTCATCTCTGGCTGAGCCGATATGGACGGCCGAGACGTCATCTTTGGCCGAGCCGATAGGGGATGGATGCGGCCCTTGCCGAGTTTTAGTGATATCTGAGCTGTGTCGATATATGATAGGATATGACGTGCAGGTTCACGTGGCCGATCCTTGTGGCCTATTGCTGAGCCGAAGCGATCTGAGTTGCGTCAATATCTGATAAGATATAACGTGCCGGTCCACGTGACCGATCCACGTGGCCGATAAGACCCTTCCGGTACATATATAATTTATATTATTTCATGACAATATTATTTGTCATTTTTTAAAAGTCATCATGATTATTTTAATTTTTTAAAATATTTTATTATTAATTTTTATTGAATACCTAATGATCCAAATTCGACCAACTCATTCAATATCAATTGATTTTGTTAGAGTTAGCAATTTTTTTTTTTGAAATCTAAACAAACAAAATCAATTAAAATTAATTAATTTACATCCCAAATT